CCGAAGGAGACCGCTTACGACACTGAAGACAGAATACGAAAAACGCCGCCACGCTATCTGAAGATGCCCCTCATGACACCCCAACGCTATCCGCAGGAGACAACTTCATGACATGCAAGAACACGAAAGACGCTATGATGCCATTTCACGACACTTACAACTGACGACACTAATCGCAATGGCCCACTTCATTGGGAACACCATCCTCCCCCACAAGACCCTAGCGAGACGAGATTCGACCCGCTTTCAAGTGCGACACCACGTCCTTGGTCGCTGGAGTCAATGTACAGGGAACCCAGTGACCTCGTCCTGTGGAAACACTTCGCTTATATCTACATTACCCTTTCCCTCGCTTGAACCGCCTGTTCTGCACATTCTTGTATTTAATCCCTCATGTTTTGTTGCTCGTATTATATTTTGTTGTTCGTATTATGTTTTGCTGCTCGTATCGAATATCATCATTAGTAATTCGGATTCCACATTCGCTGTTTACAGAAGGAGATGGGAACAACATACTCGAGCTCAGCTCCTACAAAACTGCTTCCGCTAAACCCTATGCAAGATGACTGATGTGATTAGCCTGCTCACGTTCCCAGAGACCTCCAAGGCATTCACCGCCTACCGGTCCACAGTAGTCGACATTGACGATCGGTCGGCATCTCATCCACACAAAACCCCACGCTTGGACGCCGACTCTGACTCTGCTTCTGCTTCTAGGTCGCGCGATTATCTCAAAGGTAAGAATGTCAACAGAGCTGGCCCGACTAAGATCCAGGTGCATGGATTTGCAGGTATGCTTTTATTCTCATGCAGGATGTGGTGCTCATGAGAGACTGCGATGGGTGTTGTAGGTGGTGCGGTCGGGTCTGCGCTGAGCAATGTTTATGATAGCTTGTTTGCACGGCTGAGGGGCAGTATTGGGGAGTTGTTGACCAAGGGATATGACGAGCTTCATATGACGTATGAGGGTGTTTACACTGCGTGCCGAGGAGATATACAGCTCGCTCCCGCTCCACTCTGTTTGTCTCCGCCGTCAAAACTGATGGAGCTATGCCCCAAATTTCACTCAGGGTGGCTTAGAGGGGGGAGGAGGAGGTTATCCACCCATAACTTTTTTTCATCGCACTTTCTGACCTCGACCTTTTGTCATTCTATTTATAGGTCTATAGCTCGCTCCCGCTCCACTCCGTTCGTCTCCCGGGTCAAAACTGCTCGACTTATGCCCCAGACTTCACTCGGGGTGGCTTAGGGGGGGAGGAAAAGGTTATCCACCCATAACTTTTTTTCCTCGCACTTTCTGACCTCGACCTTTCATCATCCTACTCTACAGATTCATAGCTCGCTCCCGCTCCACTCTGTTTGCCTCCGCCGTCAAAACTGATGGAGCTATGCCCCAAAACATCGCTCTAGGTGGCTTAGGGGGGGAGGAGGAGGTTATCCACCCATAACTTTTTTTCTTCACACTTTCTGACCTCAAACTTTTGTCATTCTATTCTATAGGCTTATAGCTCGCTCCCGCTCCACTCCGCTTGTCTCCCGGGTCAAAACCGCTGGAGCTATACCCGAAGACGTCACTCGAGGTGGCTTAGAGGGGGAGGAGGAGGTAATCCACCCATATCTTTTTCCATCACACTTCCTGACCTCGCGCTTTTGTCATCCTACTCTACAGACACATAGCTCGCTCCTGCTCCACTCCGTTCGTCTCCCGGGTCAAAACTGCTGGAGCTATGCCCGGAAACTTCACTCTGGGTGGCTTAGGGGGGAGGAGGAGGAGGTAATCCACCCATATCTTTTTTTCCATCACACCGGCTGACCTCAATCTTTTATCATCCTACTCTACAGATATACAGCTCGCTCCCGCTCCACTCCGTTCATCTCCCGGGTCAAAACTGCTCGAGCTAGGCCCCAAACTTCACTCTGGGTGGCTTACAGGGGGAGGAGGAGGTAAACCCCCATATCTTTTTTTCCAGTGCACCGGCTGACCTCGATCTTCTACCATCCTGCTCTACAGGCTCACAGCTCGCTCCCGCTCCACTTCGTTCGTCTCCCGGCTCAAAACTCAGCTGTGCATCTGTATTACATTCAGCCTCGGTCTTTAGTGTTGGGTTAGTTAGTTGCTTAGGACTGCATATATTCAGCCTCGGTCTTTAGTGTTAGGTTAGTTAGTTGCTTAGGACTGCATATATTCTGCCTCGGTCCTTATGCACTTTCCCTTAGCACGAGCAATTCGTCCACCCACCCACCTCCCTTTCTCTATTGATACATGGGAGCAACTCAGCCTCGCACAAAGTCGACCTGCTATCACTAGTGTGCTCGCCAACCTTGCCGCTATCAACGTAAACTTCTAGCCATCCGTCGCGCATTGATCTGTAAGTCCACGTTCATCGTTCCTCATAGGCACAAGTTTTCATATGAGGTCTAGCCCGTGCAAATCTCACCCAGACCCTCGAATACTCGGATATCCCCATGCACAACTACAACTACTCCCACGCTCTCCGCACGTGCGTCAGTCGGCTACATTTCTATTCCTCTTGGTATTACCGGCCCACTCAGCATCGATGGCGAGCTTGTCCATATCCCCGTGGACACTGCTGGGGGTACGCTTGTTTCAACTGTCCTTACCAACGACAGTTGTGACACGTGGACCTGCCATCGACTTCCCTTCCATCATCATGGCTGCAGGAGTTACTGAGAGTGAGAGGTACTTAGATTGGGGATCGAGGGGAAGAAGCGAGGCACTAAAAGGCTGCGTGCCATGAGCATTGGGGTTGGAGACGGAGAGGACATTATACAGGTGTTGGGTGGGGAATCAGGATGGTTATTCTGGTTATCGACTAGCGCTTGGAGCTCCGTTCCTGTAAGAGTAGTTCTAATATGAGGCGGAATGTAGAGATCATTTCCAGAGACGAGGTTAATCGGTTGCCGTCGCACATGTCTCTGAAATAAAGAAACTCTCTGCAGAAGGCTTTCAGTTTGCGAAGCTCAGTGTGATAGCGACACGTCGATAAAGTTAGTTGTCGAACTTCATAATGTGGGCACAAAGGGATGGCAGGGTGAATGTCATATTCGATTGATGCAAGGGCACGCTACCGCAGACCTAAATTACATGTAAACAAAGGTGACCGTAAGGTTTTCAAGAGTGAGGCTGCAGTAGGACTCGAGAAGTTGGCTGTATGCCAAAATGCGCATCTCTCATACATAGTATGAGGCGAGAGGAGTCGCGAGGGCAGGAGAAACGTCTGCTCGAGGGTCATTATGGGCATGGACATGTCAGTCATTATCAATCACATCAGACAAAGAGGGGCCTTGGAAGTGGATTGTGGGCGCGAAGAAACGTACCAAAGTCGTAAAGGTTGTTTAAGAGGTCTCCAAGGATCGGGACTTCGGGCAAAACGTATATAACTTCTGGTGCGGTAATGAGCTACAGGAAATATGATCAGCGGTGAGAGATACCAGTTAGGAAAACGGGCATACCCGTTTCTTGAGATCTACTCGTTTGAGGGTGAGGGTATCGATGATTATGGTGAGAGCGACGAAGTCGTTGTAGGTTGTGAGTTCAGTGGCAGTGAATGTCGATAGTGCGTCAAGGAAAAGTGCACCACCAGTCATAAACTGGCGGATGGCTAATTCGAGCAATGCAGAATGAGGCGTAAGAGCACCCGCAGAAGTTACTCACTTATAATACGGCGCCAATTCTGCATACACCACTGATCTGGTCAATGCAAGTCAAGTACTAAGATGATCTCATTACATACCGTATGCCTTAATTCCTTCGAGCAACTGTTTTCTTGCATTGTCGTGAAGTTGCTGGAGAGTTGGGGTAATAAGAGTGAACACGTGCTGCGGGAGGCTGAGCTTTGGTTTGGATCCACGCCGAATTTCGGCGTGAAGCACTAAGACGGTTCGGACGAGAAGTAACGAGACAGATCGAGGACAACTGAACAGTCACGTGGTTCGATTTCGTAAGCAACAGTATGGCGTCTCTGAACTTTGAAGTATATGGTGTCTTTGAAGTGTCTCTAAAGTGTCTCTGAAGTAAGTGTCTCTGAAGTGTCTAAGTGTCTCTGAAGTATGGCTAGCCGCTACAGCACCATCAGTTCAACGACAAGATTCAATCCTTCGTTGTGTGATGTTCCTACTTCATCATGATGTACCTCCACCACTCGCCGCCTGACACAACTATATTGAGTGACAGTCCACCCATCCTGGACAATCTCGTTCAGGAATCAGCGCTCAAAGCTACTACAGTACTTGTACGAAGGTTAGTCAGGTTATGAAACATGCAGCGCTTCCCTAGCTCATCTTTTACAGCTTCCCGGAGGTCGCTCCGTCTTTTGCAATCCATCTCCGCCACTTCGTCACTTCGCCTCTTTCAATATTCGAGTTTGCATTCAATACCGAGAAGCGCGCACCCCCACCTCTGACAGCGGCTGCAAAATGCCTTGCGCTTTGTATTAAGGTATGCCTTTTCTTACCCGGTTCTGCCAATACGCTCAAGCCTTCCCAGCTGATGACTCCATCATGTCCAACATGTACTCTCTGCTCAATTACATCGCTGCGACCTCCAAAGATCTACACCTCCTCGATCACCTTTCCCAACGATAACATCACTTTCCAGAGCGACAAAACAGGGCTGCACGGCCGCTCAGACGAAGAGAAGCGGCTCATCAGCATCACGATGATCTCCGTTGTCACCCGCCTTGCGCTCGAGTTCCACGGAGGAGGTTACTAAGTTAACAATCTCCATGCTGCTGCAGCGTTTACGGACTTCGGAGGCGACTCTCGAATCTGCGATTGCATATAACTTTGTCGACCTCGTGCTCGTAGCTCCCGAAGAGTCGTTTGTAGTGGTTTGCGACTCGCGGCTCGTAAAAGTGAGTCGATCTGCCTTGAGCTTTTATTGCTTTTAACGTTTGCAAGATCAAGATTTGCTAGACGAAGTAGCTCCTCAAATGCAATGCACTGGCGTCCAGCCTTTCAAGGATAAGTTGGCCGATACTATGAACGACATACAGAATAAACGCAGTTCTTTAACTGTTCAAGATCTGAAACGTCTTTTATCCCGTTGCGCAGCTATTCTCATAGCACTGGAGAAGGTGAGGCTATGATTTATATGCTTCTGGTATTTGTTCTCACTATTTGCAGTGCGATTACACCTTGATCTATTTCCTCGTCGCTCTGCCATTCGAGGTTTTCACGCCCTCTGCTATCGCTGCTGGTATTGAGACGTGGACGTGGGTCATCGCGGAGCGTCCTCACATGGAAGTGGCCATTATGTGTGAAGTGCTCACGTCTTGGTTTGGGACTGTGAAGGAACGGAAGGGCGTGTTCTCAGCTTCTTCCAAGTGCGTCGGATTCTGTGCATTTTAAATTTCTGAGTGATTGACATTCCACAGCTGTGTTGACCCCTTCTACCATCCCATCAGTTACAGTCCAACCGACAAGGACGAAATCGATCGAGCGACGACTCATGCTCGTCGATTACTCATACCACATACCTATCATCTGAATTCCAACTCATACTCTCGCAACCGTCCCTGGTGTTTCCATAACACTTTCAATCATCCTTCCGGCCCCATGGCACTGTCAGCTCAATCATACTCACATGTAATCATTCAACTTTTCTTGTTTGCGTCATTTTCACCGGTTTGCATTTACCTTATGAAATAAACTCGATTCTTCATTTTGCCTTCATGTGCTAAATTAGTCGTACCGTCCAGGAGTAGCAAACATCACAGGACGCTCAGAGTCTCGCATAACCTTGGTCGCTGATGGGTCTGACCTCCACATTGCCCACACACAGGTTCTCCCACTAATTCTACTCGGTCACCTTTGATCTCAGCACTTAGTCTAATCATACCAGCGTCTATCGTGCCGAACGGCCTTCAGCTCATGTTGCTAATAAAACCCAGTGCACACCTGTACTCTACCACCGAGAACCAGAATTTCACATGCCGCACCTCAATAGTGAACCACATCGACGGTGCATCCTTTGCAAACACCGCGCGCGTATACCGCTCATAATGACAATTTTCAATTTCTCTTATTTTTCAGATTTCTGCTTGTGGCACTTTTCATCCCCGACTCCGCTATCGGCGATACTGAGCAGGAGGACGTTGCATGATGCACTTGCCTCTTTATTATACTATGGAATATGGAGGAGAGATGGAACATGAACAGGGCATAGTTAATTCACGGTATGATGATATGCAATATCAGCCCTCTAAAGCTGCAAGCCTCGCGCGAAGTTGCTCGATTTCGGCGTCCTAGTGAAATAGTACCACCGTCAACAAACGAAGATCATGTTTGCTGAGAATAACCCACTTTTTCTCGGCGAACTCGTTCGATTTCAGCCTGCGCGCAAATCTACGAAGACAAGTACAGATTAACAAACAAAGACCATGGTTTTTTTGCTACGAATAATGCACCTCTGTTTGGCGAAGTCGTTCTATTTCGGCCTGCTGGTAGACAAGTACCATCAACAAACAAAGACTAAATTTGCTGAGAAAACAACTCACCTGTGCTTGGCGAAACAGCTCATTTTCAACCTCAAACTCCATGTGTAATTTCTGTCGATTCTGCCAAGACAAGTACCATCAAGAAATGGAGTCCATATTAGCTGAGAATAGCCCACCTTTGCCTCTTCAGCTTCACGATTGTGCTTTATCTGCTCAAGCGTCTCCAACATCTTCTGCCACTTGGGCTCGTAAGCCTCGCATACAGCCTCGACGCTCTCATATGACAGACCCTTCAGTCACATTGGATGTAGAAGTGGTGCCCCGGATGTGCCAAAAGGCCGTAGAATATGTCCCAGCCAGCACCGGCCTGGCCAGGTAGATATGTGGCTGGCCGGTTCGTAGAAGTGGGCACGGCCAGTGTACCTTGAACTCTGCTTAGGTACCGAAGGAATGTGTAGAGCGAG